CTGCTCCTGCAGTTTTCCAGATGATAGACAAAGATGACCTGAAACAAAGGAGTGGGGTTTGGCACAAGGAGCTGTTAGACGGTAAGAGGAGCAGAGAGGCCAAATTCGTAAGAGGTGTCAGCTGGTTACTCATGGGGTAGGACGGGTTGGTGAGGAACAGCTGACTACCTGAAAACCCTTCTTCTGCCCACCAGGCAGCAGTGTCCTCTCCCCACTCTGCCCCAGAGCCTCTGCCCCATGTCTCTAGGTCTGAGATGTATCCTTAGATGACACTGTAAGCTGGAGGGAGACAGAATCGTGTCTGGGTCACCTTCGATGCTCTGGCATCTGGCACCTAGTGCTGTATCAGGACAGATCCTAATATTCACGTTCCTGCCCCAGCAGCGGGCCCCACATGGCTCCCTTAGAACAGTAAGTCCAGGTGGGAGGCCTCCTTCCCATGGGAACCACACCCGTGTGTGTTCTCTCAACTGAGAAAGAAATGCTTAAAATGAATCCCTCCACTCAGAATGGACACGAACATTTCCAGCAAGCTTTCTTCTTTCCACCCTGCCTCCCAGCACCCTACCCTGTTCCCCTCTGTGCCCCAGAATCGAACCATTTTTTTCTTTGATATTTCTGCTAGGACCTGTTACCTGTATTCTGGCACCTTCTAGCTCTTACTTAGCAAGCAGAGGAGAGAGCTGCTTGCTTTGTTCAGGTCTAGAGTCCTGTAGTATTCTCTTATTTTACATTTGCCTTCTTTGAAGGCTTCTCTGAACAGGCTTTCTGTGCCTGAAGGAAAGCCAGTGATGTTTTCCAAGGGCCCTGTAATGGCTGAGTCTGAGGCAGTTATATAGCTGTCTATCAGTCATGCAGAACCTCAGCCTCACACCATGATGAATAAGTTATCACATGTCTGTGAACCCATTCTTGAGTGGCAATGACAAGCTCTTATCTCTCCTTTGTACTCCAAATTTATATCAATTTTACTTGACTGTTTACCTAACCACTTTAATTCAATTTGTCTCTCCAGGACATTTAATTCAACAAACACTTAAGTTCCTCTATAGAAGGAACTGACAACCTTCTGTCCTTTCACAAGATATCCAAGCTCATCTTGCAAGATAACCCCCATGGCTCATGCCTGTAATCCTATCTACTCAGGAGGCAGAGATCAGGAGGATCGCAGTTCGAAGCCAACCTGGTCATATAGCTCACAAGACCGTATCTGAAAAAACCCTTCACAACTATAAGGCTCAAGGTGAAGGCCCTGAATTTAAGCCCCAGTACTGAAAAAAAAAAAAAAAGCCTAAGTGTCAGAAAGATGCATACAGATTTCTTTTAAGTCATTTCTGTACCTTACCCTTGGTAAGAATGCTCCCCTATGATGACTAACTTTATGTGTCAACTCGGCTGGGCCACAGTGTCCAGATATGTGGACAAATATTATTCTAAGTGCTTCTGTGAAGGTGTTTTGGAATGAGATTATCATTTAAATTGGTAGAACTTGAGTAATGCACATTGCCTTCCATGACGTGAATGGTCCTCATCCAATCAGTTGAAGACCCAAAGGGACCCAAAGACTGCCCTCCCCTAGCAAGACAGAATGATGTAGCAGATGGCCTTGGCCCTTGAACTGCAGCATCACCTCTTGCTGAGTCTCTTGCTGGCTGGTCCACCCTGCAGATTTTGGACTTGCCTACATTCATAACCATGTTGACCTAATTTCTTAAAATAAATCTCTATGTACAAACCCACATCCTATTTTCCCTGTTTCTCTGGAGAATTCTGAGTAATGCACCCTCATTCACTGACCAGTTTTTGAAGGCAAAGATGCCATGTTGACATGAGAGAACACCTTGGATAGGGCTGAGAGTTTGTTGGTGATCCTGACTAAAAGGATCTTTGTCTCATCTTTGGAGATGTGACAGAGGGGTAGTCAGGAGGCCCCATCCGTGCCTGGGAGTATGACATGCAGGAAAAATTCCTTGAAAGAGATAAAGGAGGAAGTAGACCTCTTATGATGGTGTCACAGAAGCAGCCTAAGAAATTGTAGGTGCCTCTGAGAAGGCTCCAAGGGTCAAGGCAATTTTCTTTGCAGAGATATTCTGCGTGTAAGCATCTCCATTACTGAATGCACAGGAGCATTCACTATGAAGATTTTGCTTCCCAACTGAGATCGTCTGTTTCCGTGAACTTGGCTCACCTTTCCATAGGCTCCATGTTTTCTGACAATGGATGGTTTATTGAACCAGTCCACTAATAGCCATTCATTGGGTTGCCAGTCAATAAACAATGCTGATTTGATTTTTTTTTAAAGAATCAGTGCAATTTGGTCAATTGATTTAAAAATTTGAGTGCTTTGTTCTGTGCAGTTTTTTCATCCAAGATCAGCTGGGGACAGAAGATCACCTAGTCCACAGAAAAACTATGGTCGTCATATTGGTGTTGACCTAACAGTGGGACACACAGTACCCAACCCTGCTCTTCACTGTTGATGCATGTCCTGACTCACAGAAAGCAGTTTCACATGCTGTCACTCACAGAGCCCACATGGGGACACCCAGCTTATGCAGCCAATGGACTCCCACAAGTGTGTGTAAATGCCCTCCTTCATGAATCACTGTATGATGAACATATGTTAGAGGAGATGGCTATTTCAAAGAAACTTCACAAGTGCCTCATTTCTTAATGTCATATCCATTCTGATTTAAGATCATAACCTCTCTCTAATCTATTAGCTTATAAAATTCCATTTTCTTGCTGAAGAGATTTAATTAAAGCAAGACAAAATTATTTAATAACATTCAGTTGCCTGAAAGAGTTATTACAGAAATCCTTAAGGTATTACCAGAAAATAGCTTAATGTCTCAAATAAATGTCAAGTTCCCCAAATCAAATCAAGAGACAACTTAGTGAGGGATAAATGTCACTATCAGCACATTTCCACCAAATTTTTCTTTTTTAGAAAGAAAACAGTCACACAGTGAAGGGAATCAGAATCTACTTTTATATCCCTAGAGTTATAAACATTTGTATCAAAATATTTACAATTATAGTATATGAAATCATCTATTAACGAAGAAGCCAAATACAGTACAAGAATAACCACCAATGAAATGCAAATTACATGAGACATAAATGTCACAGAAAAAAAAAGGAAAAGGCAAGGGAACACATGGTTCACTCCAGTCATAATTCAACTTTTTAACAAAATGAGTGTATGTCTTTTGGATATAGCTAATATGTGGTTATGCTTCTGCAGTTGAGACAGCCTTGGACGTCATGTGGTTATCAAATCATAATTTAAAAGTCATTTATCTCTCGGGTTTTTCTAGCCAATCTGTCTACCCTCAGCCTAGGCCTGCCTTCAAATTCCCTTACCCAGAATAAACATAGAGAAAAATACTTTTAGTAATAGTCCCTTTACATAAATACCAGCAATTATGGCATAACTCCCCCAAAAGAAAATGTATATAAGACATGAAAAGTAGAAAACTAGACGGAAAGTAGGCAAGATGTCTTAGGCTCTTCCCAGGGCATATCTTTCTAAGGGTAATAAGGAAATGATTTAAAAGGAGAACACCCTTTAAGCAGGCTCAGAGATGGCTTAAAATAGTTGCCCCAGGGAGACCACCGCCCACTGAGGCAAGAATAACAATACACTACTTCTAAGTCCTACACAAAATACTCTTGTGGCCCTAAACAGCTCAACAATGGTCTGATTGAGTACCCCAAGAGTTTTTGCTTTTTTAAACCAAGAAAAAATCTGCCCATTACCTATATTTTTATTCGCCTCATGGGATCTCCTTATTTTCCTGGGAGTAGGCACTCTGATCTTATCATGACTGAAATATAGTATGCTTAATACTTCACAATTAGACAGCATCTTTCCCCACGAACCTGCTGTGGTGGTTTTTGGTTTGTGTGTGTTTGAAGTAGCTTCCAGAACTGTCAAATCTCATTTAAGAAGCAGATGGGGCAGGATCTCTGAGAGGTGCCACTCCAGCCAATGTCAAAACTTAAGTGGCCACTGGGTCCAAAAGCCCTTATTCCCCAGTGTGGATCATTAGATAGAACTTACTCAAAGGTCCATCATTTAGAGGACGAGTAACATACTGGGCACCAGGAGCCATGTCCGTCTCACTCCTGTTATATTCTTACAAGAAACATTGACTGTATTAAGGGGGATCTTAAAAACATAACCCTAATATAGCACTGTGGCAAGAGTTCCCCTTGGTCCCATGGCTTGATGCTTCATTACCGAATTGGTCATCAGAGGTTCTAGAAACTCCAGAGTTGCTGCCTTGGCCTTAAGCAAGAGCCTAGCAGAGTCCACAGCAAGAGATCTCTCTGAGGGACAGCTGGGCAAGTTCTTCTCTGGGTTCTGCCCATCCCCCAAACCTTCCATGGTGAACCGTTCTCTTTCTTGGTTTAGCTAACCCACCAACTTGGCCTTATAAACTATCTCTTGTCCTTTCTTTTTGTCACACATGTCACCAAATTATCTGTTCTAAAGAGGGACTATGACTCCCTAGCCAAAGCTGTTCTGTAGGCCCTTCAGATTAGAATGAGATATTTTGCTTCAGAAGGATGGGGAGGACTCAGGCTTAGTATAGTCAGCACAGAGACAACATCTGCTCTTGCCAGGACTGTACCGCTCTTTGAACTTGGTGCAGTAGATCTAAAAGGCCTCAGTGTGTGACCCAGAATTCACCCTTGAAAGTGGAGCAAGTGGTGTGGCAGTTGATGGACCCCAGGTGGTGTGTGTAACTGATGACAGCTGGTGGCTGGAGGGAGGCTCTCTGGCCCATGTCAAGGGAGCACCAAAGTATTAGCCAATGACTTTCTCCCAAGGACCAGTGCTTGACAGTGGAGAACTGCTCCAGGAATGGTTGGCTTTCAAGCCTCTCCCACCCTTCCTTCCCCTCCCCCACCCATCCCTTTCCCTTCACTTGGTTTTTCCTGCACAATGACTTCCACTCCCCTCCTCCCCACCCCCCAGAACCCCTTCCATTTGTTCAGCTTTATTTCTTTCTCAGGACCAGATAGAGGACGCCAATGATGAGGCTGAAGCAGAAACAGATCCAGGTCAGGATGAAGCAATAGCCGTGATGGCCGTTATTTACAAAGTTGTCATCTCTGTTGGCATAGTGGTGGGTATAGATGGACACTCCGATCAGAATGCACAGCCCTGCAGGGTGACAAAGAGGTAGTTGTGGTTGTTACTGTTGTTTTAATAGTAACACCAAGATAAAGATTTTATAAAAAAAAATTTGGCAGTATTGGGGTTTGAACTTAGGGCCTACCACTTACCAGACAGGCACTCTACCACTTGCCATACACACCATTTTTTGTTGCTTTTTAGTTAGTTTTGGAAAAGGGTCTTGCATTTTTGCCATCCTCCTATTTATAATTCCTGTATGACTGGGATGACAGGTGTGAACCACCACACCCAGATTTTATTGGTTGAGATGAGGTCTCACAAACTTATTGCCAGGGCTGGCCTCAAACCGCAATTCTCCCAATCTTCACCTTCCAAGTAGCTAGGATTACAGGCGTCAGTCACCATGCCAGACCTATAATTTTTAAAGATCCTATTTCCTTCATTGACAACGGGAATGTGAACTCTGCTGGTTTGTTTCTAAATGGTGGCTCTGTTTGTTTGCCCTGGCTCAAGCTGGATGGTTGTGTTGATGAACTAGGAATGTTTGGGTTCTCTGACCGCGCTGGTCTGTGCAGCTTCAAGTGTAAAGTAAAACACAGAGCATCGTGTTTACCACCCGTTTTTCCTATCTGCATGCCCACATGTCCAGGCAGCCTACTCAGGGACGCAAAAGAACATGGCCTTGCACCAAACTGGGTGTATTTGGAAAGACTGGCAGCAGGCTTGGGTTGTGATGATTGCTCACATTGTGGCAGTGGCTCCATCTTTCTGAGGACCCCATCTTCTCACCCCCTCTAACATCTCATGTAAAAGTGCTACTGATGGGTGTGTCCCAGCCATTTGTAGTTGCCAACAGTGCCAGGTTTTTAAATAAGGAAGCATATGGGGTTCTTAATCCAACCAGCAATACCAGGTTGTCAATGAGAGAGGAAATAGCTAGAGGAGAATATTATACAAGGGGACCACAGTAAGGTCCACTTAGAAGCTGCTCTATTGTGAGATACTCACAGCACACCAGCATGGTGGCTCCTGACAGGAAGAAGCGGTTTCCCTTTTCCATGGTGAAGAGCTGGAACAGGAAGACCACAAGGGAGATGACGGAGAAGATGATGGAGAGAATCATGAAGGCCTGCACAGCCTTGAGGGCATCTGTGGGCAACAGAGCAGGGAGAATAAGGGTGTCAGGCCACCCCCAGAGGCTGACCACACCCACTGCTGGCAGGGGACTGATATTTTGATATATACCTTCATTGCCATATGACAAACCCACATCACAGTTACTGTTGGAGCAGTTCTTCCAAAGACCTACAGATGACTGGATGGAATCTGAAACCACCCAGACCTGAAACCAGAGGGAAACAAAAAGTTGATTTAAAATTGTACTGTATACAAGAATGAATATAAAATTTTTAAATTTGTTGGAATCACCAGAAGAAGGAGACTGACTAATGTAGAAAAGAGAAAAATAGAGGGGATGAACCAATTCAGGTTATAACACATGTATACATGGAAATGTCACAAGGAAACTCCCTGTATGGCTATCTTTTTTTTTTTTAAATGTCTTTTCTCAAAAAACAGAGGACAGGAAAGTAAAAGAGGTTCTGTCTGGGAGTAGGTACCAGTGGAAGGGTGGACAATGAAGGGAAAGGGTGAAGGAGAGTGAATGTAGAAATATTATGTACACAGGTGCATAAATGGAAAAATGAAACCTGTTAAAACTATTCCAGAATCGGGGAGGGAATAAAGGAGAATGATGGAGGGGTGAATTCAACATGATATATTGCAAAAACTTTTGTAAATGTCACAATGTGCCCCAAGTACAACTATTTTTTTAAAAATCTTTTTAAAAAAAACTGAACTTCTGCTTTAAACAGAAAAAAAAAAAACAGTTTGTATCTGGGCCAAATCTTAATCAAGATGCCCTAGGTCGCCCTAAGAATGGTCTGTTGGTGGAAATAAGGTCTAATTAAAGTCACATTTCCAAGACATAAGGGAGAGGATTGTGACCTGGAAAAAAAGTCACCTGCCCTCTTTGGGCTTCACATTCTTCATGGCATGATTTTTTTAAAACTAGAAGTAATTCTAACATAGTGATTTAAAATTTGCTTCTGAAACAAAAACCCTGTGTGAGGAAATTGGTTTTGTGTGTGCTCAATTCAAATACTCTGACATGACTGTGTCACGTAAGTGCATGACTAACAAAAAAATTAAGAAAAAATGTCCAAGTAGAGAGTACTTAGAAATATGAAGGCTCCTGGGCTGAGACTAATAATCCACTTCCATCTCTACAGAAGGACAAAGCTTTGATTGCCACAACATGCAGTCATTTTATAGTAAAATAGTGCAGCAAGAGCTTCCATGTGGGGGCAGCCCAAAGCTGAGGAGTGACCAAAATGTACCTCCCCAGGCTCACAATGGTGCCAGCATTCCTTCTTGCCTGGCCAGCCAGTAAAGTTGTTCAAGCCTGTAATCCCAGCTACTAGGAAGGCATAAGTAAGTGAAACATGGTCTGAAGCCAAAGCCAGCCTTGGGTAAAAAATGGGAGACCCTAAAATAACTAAAGCAAGAAAGGGCTGGGGGCATGGCTCATGTAGTAGAGAGCTTGTGTAGCTAGTGCAAGGCCAAGAAGGGGAAAGGGGAGGGGAGGGGAGGAGAGGGGAGGGGAGGGAACAGAGTCCTGTCCACACACGCAAAACATGTGCATACTGGAAAAGTGAGCCAAGGACTTCTCTGTAGTCAATAAACAGCTATGTACCACCCGTGCCCATATTAGGGGCTGATAAGGAGCGCATGAGTATCTCGTAATACACTTTGAAGTTTACCCTAGGATGCATGGGGATTGGCATAGAGAATGGCTAACTTATAAACCCTGGAGGAGGGGGCATGAGGCAGAGGGTTGTCTTATCACAGTTATGCTTAAATTAGCTTTGCTGGGATCACGCCCAAGGCTTGCAAAGCTCTCCTCTCTGATCTTTAAAACCCACTTATCCTTTAACTGTAGCAGGGACCAAAACAGATCCCAGAACCATCATTTGTCACCTAGTGATGAGTGGTTTGTACTCCAAGGACCTATGTTGCTCTTAGACAAACAGAAAGGCAAATTGGATGCTAAAAACTACCACTAGGGGTCAGGGTAGCCCCGAGTTCAGAGAGAAAAGACTGCATTCCTCTTTGTGGTAGTTTTAGGTTGTTTGGTTTGAGTTAATTCCAGGGCACCAGGCTAATCTGGCAAAATTCCATTTGCACATGATATTCTGTGCTCAAAACTTTAATTCAACAGTCTGGCAACCAAAGACTGTCACTTCCATCCACCCTTCTGATCGAGGTTCCAGGAAAGAGGGGAGGGTCTGTTCCAGCCTCCCCTAAACAGTGCATGTCCTTTCCACCTGCTGCCTTTGCTAGCTCCTGCCTGGAATGCACGCCTAGGTTCTTCTGCTGCCCATCTTTCACTAAAGGAAACCCCACCCCTTCCTGTCCTCCAAGTTCACCTCAAGCTCCATCTCTGCTGCCAAGGTTCCTCTAGAGAGAGACTGTGGAAGCTCCCTGTGTACTCCTGCCTCCCAAAACCAACAGCCCTGGCAGGATCTTTCCTGTGCACATTTGCTTTTACCCTTTGGTTATTTCATTGTTTAATCCACAAGTATGTGCACAACTGAGCTGGAAGTTCCCGGAAGGACAGACATTGCGGTTTAAACCTCTTTTGAAGCACTTTATATAATATTTTAGTAATTCCTCAATGAACGAATGATCGAGAGAACATGACTCACATTGGAAATGGTGGAAACAAACAGCATGATAAGAGTGGCAGTGTGGACCACGAAGATACTCGCCAGTAACACCAGCATCTTGACTTTTCTGGTGACTCGTGAGTGAGGAGAGTTCTGAAAAGAAAAGAGAAAAAGAAAAGGAACACATGGTGAGGTTCGATAAGACAATTCGGCTTTCCCCTCTGCTAAAATGAGGAGGCATTGCAATAAAAACCATCAAATTTCATCATGACTTCCTGAAAACCCCTTGTCACAGACTACCTGTCTGTGTGCGTACACTGAAATGTAAGCATAATTTTGTTTTGTTTTGTTTTGTTTTCTCCTCTGGTGTTTATTTACTCCTTTCTCCAACACTACCTATTTCCCCAAAAAACAGAATGTTTGTGATAATTGCTAAACTTTTATTTTGCTTGCGTTTTAGAGGCCAAAAGTAGAGCTTTTGTAATTTTTTTTTTCTTCTGTGGTGTTGGAAATGAAACCCATGGCCTTATGCATGTTGGGCAAGTGTTTTCTTTTCTTTCTTTTTCTTCTAGCTTTGGTTTTTAAAAGACTTTTGTCACTTCCATGTCTCTGCAGCCACATCTCATGTATCTCCATTTTCCACAAGGGGAGTATCCACCTCCCAGCAAACTGTTCACCCAGCAATTTTAATAGAAGTGCTGTGTTCTGCAGAACAGCAGTTTTTGCTCAATGCCCATATGCTGACTAGGCTACTAATTTGATCCCGGGTGAGACGCAAAATGGGAGAGATGCCAGTTCTATTATCATGATTGTCTTTGGTATTCAAGAATTATGAAGACCTACTTACAGTTAAATGGTCTGATCACCTGCTGATTGGTCATTTTAGACTAGGATTGCTACACCTGAGCCTGTGATCCTTGTGTGCCTCTTGATGGAGAGCTCAGTAATATTTCCTACAGTCTGATATTATGACAGCCCTGGGGCTTCTGCGGTGTGAGGCTTGAGATAACACCAGATGTACTTTTTACTTGTGCACGACGCTTGCACAACTTCCAGAGTCCTCAACATAGAGGACAGGCAGGTGCCTAAATCATATGTAGGACTGGAAACTAATGTCGATTAAGAATGTGCCTAGATAAACAAAAGCTTTCAACCACAATCTCAGCAGAGAAGAAAAGAGCCCACTGAGCATAAAACCGAGAGACTAAAAGAGAAGTGAAGGTACACATCGGGGCGACTCTGATTTATGTCAGCTGCAGAGGTGTCTGTCATGCCCACACCAGTCATGACTCTGTGCTGGCTCAAAGGTACATCAAAAGGAAAGGGCTGGAGGTTATTCACACCCTAGGTAGGGCAGGTGTGAGGGTACCCCCACCCAGGGGGAGATGGCTGGTTGCATGCTGCAATTGCTTCGCTTCTCTCTCTCCACCTAATTTAATTGACAGTTCGAGTGGCTTAAGCCACTTTCATGCAATAGTGGGTATTTATTAGAGTGCTGATATTATCCTTATTCCGGTGCTTCGGTCGTCTTTTGTCTCCTCTCAATTTCCTCATTAGGCACCCAAAGTCAAGCATGATGTAAGTCACACCAGAGTGCCTCGCTCTTTGCAAACACTGCCTGCCAGGTCCACCCTGACCTTCTCCCTCATGAGCACTTCCTTCCAACACAGGCTATTTTTTGAAGGAATGTGTGCAATTTAACTGTGAATGATAAAAATGGTGAAATATATCCTGCAGCCTCAGGGGACAGCATAGAGCTTCCATGTCTGCTTCTAATCGTCTATCAACACATTCAAGTTCATTTTGCTTTTCTCAGGTCCCTGCACAACTCTGCAACTTTCTGCTTGAATGCAATGGTAAGAAGGGTTTTTTTCACCAGATGGTGGTTGAGTTATAACTATACGATGTTATTTGATCTCTGCCTCAGTTTCTTCATGTATAAAATGGAGGTTGCAAGGCCTATTGTACAGGGAGTGAGACAGGATTTGGATAGTAGAAGGAAAGCACCCAGCAGTATCTGGCACATGGCAGGTACTGGTAAGAGTGTTGCTGTTGTCATGATCATTGTTGTCACTGATATTCATATGTGAAACTCAGCAGCTGTTGACAACCCAACCCAGTTACTTCATCACCAGTCTGCCTCACGCAAGACTAAGTGCAAGGAATAAGATATCTGCTCTTTAGCTCACAAGACACTGTATATAAAATTATTTTGGTCCTCTTAGAAATCGTCATTTTGTTTAATCCTTGCTCCTTGAGTGAGGGAGACTACTAAGAATACACCCACAGCAATGCCCAGGAGAAAGGTGACTCCTCTCAGCCCATTCTCCTGACACTCCAAGAGCCGCACTTCCCTCCATCCCCATCACGCCCCTCCTGGGGAAAGGAAAAGGTTGATCGCAGGAAAACACAACATACTTATGGTTAGTTCTCCCTGGGCTCTTTGAATGACTGCCTTACTCCTTTTGTTTCTAATTTACAAATATCTTCCTTTTGATAATGAGAAGTGGTTGAGGGACTAAGCGCAGAAGATAATACACCAAGTGAGGCCAGTTAAATGAGTTGCAGGAACACATCCCGAGTTCCCTCCTTGATGGTGGTTGAAATTTGGCAGCCCCATTTCTGTGTCCTTGCACTGTTCTGTGACCCTCTCCCACTGAGTCTGAAGTCCTCAAACCCCTGCTCACAGTCTCCATCAGATGATCCCTCCCTCTGTGTCTCCGTATAGGCCCTCCACTGCATCCCCAGGACATGTGAGTTTCTGATCAATGGATTTCACTTCTGACCTATGTCACAACCCTACCTGGTCCTTATTTCCCTGCCAGTTGCAAGCTGGAGTTGTGGATGAAAGAGTGAGCTAAGAGGTGACTCCTTTTCAACGTAGATGTTTGTGCTTGGGCTATGTCTTTTCACCATAGTAAGGAGTAAAATGTCTCAGATCGGCAAGTGTTCTTACTGTGCAAAGCATGCAATTCTTCAACTTCTGCTGCATCCCACCAGAAGTAGAGGCTGTTTAGCTAGAGCTATTGCATAATAGATAAAGGTTCATCTTTTCACTGCCTCAAATTTGTCAGGTTTTGTCAATACCATCCACTGTCAGTTTACAAGGGCTTCCATTATTTTCAATAACCCTCTCCTAACATGCTTGAAAACAGAATGAACTATCTTCTTCAATCTCTGTTCTGGATCATCCCTGGTCACCAAGTCTCTGTATTAGAGACACCACTCCTCACTGCTCATCCCCTCATCCAGAGGGAGGAAACTCTAGAGGTCTACCATGAGTAGTACCTATAGGTGAATGTCTGAGAATCTACCAGACAGTAGAGTAGAAGGGGTGTAAGCAACAGAAAATTCCATGCTCTGAGACCTCTACCCATCCCCTACTTGCAGCATAGCTTGTGGGTAGACTCGTTCACTGTTCTACTGTGTATCTTGTTTTATACAAAGGCACTGAAAAAAAAGCCATTTCAGAGCACTTAGATCATAAGAAGTGTTGGCTGCTCCATCTTTCTCAGCTGTATGTTTTACTGAGACAGTAATGGACTTGTCCCTCACGCCTCTCTACAGTACCTTACATGGCACGCTCCAGTGAAAAGCGTACTCTTGTCGTAGCTGGACGGCTCAAACCAAGAAACAGAGAATACAGCACTGCCACTCTAAATACCCCAGTGTAACATGTACTTCCCACAGAGCACTTGCTCCGTGGGCAGTCCCAACATGTCGTGCATTGTTGAGACTCCCAAAATGAAAATGTTATGTGTGATGTTTACACTCCCTAGTCTGGACCACGAGATGGTCAATTCATAGTGTTCTGAAAGTGTAGGTCGCCACTGGCTTCTGTGAAGGGCTCCCAGAACACATTTCTGCCCCCCACCACCAGTAGCATAACAGAGCCTTATCTACCCAATGTTCTTGGCACAGGGTGGCCAAGGCTAAGGGGGAAACCAAGACAGATATAAGAAAGTTGAATGTTGACTCTAGAAAGAAGTGGCTGTTGGGAGAAATGGGGGTTAGAGACTTAGAGCCATGCACTGGCCTCTCTTACCTCTCTTCTCTTTGTCTACCTGCCCTAATGGAGAGGCCTGCCAGTTCCCTTTCCATGCCACCATCTTTCATTTCTGACCTCTGTTTCTCCTTTTCTTCCCACATTGCCCAGATCACATGACAGCAGTGGTCTCTTTGTGCTCCTACCCCTAATGTAAGCCTCAGAGACACTGGCCATTTGAATTTGCATTAAGTTCTTTGCTAGTAGAAAATGCAATACAGTGGATAGGAGGGAGTAGCTGCTCTTTCTAGTTGTCTCCATCGTCTTAAATCTTCACTGTCTTCTCTCCTCCATCTAACACCTCCTCCCAGTCAAAAAAGAGAAAAAAATCAAAAGAACATTGCCCTGAGACTGCAGTATATTGGCTGTTTGCCTTTTTTTTTTTTTTCAAGTAATGTAAAATTTCTAGGGTACTTTGACCAGTGAGAAAATAATGCATCGCCTATGGGAGACTTTCTGTTGCTGATGAGTAACTAATTCTCCAGAGACGCGAAATGGACTTCTAAGAAACAATATGGAAGTTTAGATGTGCACAGTTTGGCTGCATGACTGCTAAGTGAGAGATCAGATAACTTCTTCCTATCTTAGAGCCTGTGTGTTTACTAAAATGCCACAGGAGTCTGTGGGAAGCAATGCTCCCAGGATGCTCTAAGCCTCCAGACTTGGGAGCAATAAAATAGAATAGAACAACCCCAAACCCACTTCTTCAGCCAAGGAAGTGGTGGAAATTCTGGGCTTTGAGTCACTGAAGAATCAGCCTGAGTGTTGGGGACTTGGAAACCAGGGGCTGGGCACTGTGAACAGTGGGGAAGTCAGTCCTGCAGTGCTCAAATCTCCATGATTCACTTGAGAAAGGATGAGATTCTCTCCAATAAAAGGCAAAGTGGGACTTCCCTATGCGATGGCAAGATGGCACCAGAGGCTTTTTGAGTGCTTGTGCATGGATCTTTCTGGCTAGTTAAAGCCAGTTTAGGCATCTCCAGGGTAGGCTAGGACAATCCAGGCTTCACTGGGAAGAACAGAGCAATAAGCAACTGCCAAATCCCCTATCTCCCTCTCTCCTCACTCCAGTTTCACTGCTCAAAACATCTCCCATCTGTCTCCATTA